CTTTGATTGTTATTATCCAACAAAAATATACTCGTAATTAATGTTACAATGATTATTATTTATATATTTAAACTGTTCAACCTTTTTTGTAATTTTTCCTATTAAATTTAATACCCCCTTAACAGGGAAACTCTCCCTTTTTGTAAATAAACGTTTATTATTATTATTATTATTAAAAAATTCACTTTTCAATTACAACACATATTCCTTATAGTTTTTATTAAATTTCAAAATAGTAATTTTTATAAATATTGTTATTTATTTCAATAAATTAATAAGATTTTAAGTTTTAACAGACAGTTTCGTTAGATTTTTACAAATAAATTTTATTTTTAATTTTTTTAAAATTTTTTAATTAAAAATAAAATTTTTAACAGCCTAACACATGACTACATATATATATATAGTCATGTGTTTTTTAGATTTTTTAGTTTGGCGTAAAATTATAATTTTGCGCATTGGCTATTTTTTGGGCGACATATTATTTATAAATATATAAGTCGAATAAAAATGCACTTTGAAATGGTTTTTCGTCGTTTTTTATTAATTAGAGACAGAAATCAAACAAATATTTGTTTTTTTCAAATAAATTTGTGTCTCCCCTTTATAATAAATGAATTAATCTATTTCTAAGTAAAAATTGAAAGTGTCTGTAGAAGTAATTTTTTAAAATATACTTTTTCTTGATAAAGTTTTAATACTTGTTGTTATAATCTAAACATGTTAATCCTTAAATATACTTGTATATTGGGCCACAAGTATATATTATATATATACTTGTGGCCCAAAACTCCTTGACTTCTTCCAATGCGGCCCAGAGAAACAAAAAGGTTGGACAACCCTGGTTTAAAGGATTTCAAACACTAGTGAAAAGTTGATAGGTCAAACAAACCAAAATTTGGCAAAAATTGAGATATATGCAACTCCTAATACACTGGTTTGAACACTTGCCAAAAGGGGATATGAACTGCCAGTTCATATCCACTTTGTAGCTGATTGTGTGCCAATGTGAACCTAGCTTAACAACTCCCAAACAAACAGGCATTGATTCATCCAAAATTTTATAAGTTTTGTCTATTAAATTCAAAACTCTGATGATAATGATTTTAAGTTCAGTTTTGTTTGTTATTGATTACATTCTGATTGTTTATTCAATCTGATCCTATAAATACTCAATTGGGTTGAGGTTGGGCAATTGCAGAGGCCAGGAAGAACTTTTATATAGTTTACATCAAGAAATTGACTGTTTTGTGAAGTTGCTTCAGATTATTGTCATGCTGGAAAACAAACCCTTACCTGACTAATTTTCTTACTGATTTTCTGAACATTTTTATTTAAAATCTGTTCATACACATATTGATTCATTATTCCATCAACACATTGCAGAGTTTTAGCACTATTTGCAGACATACAACCCCAAATAGTACTAAACCATTTCTGCATTTCACTGTAGGGATTAAGTTTTTCCTTTTTAAAAGTTTTTCCTGCTTTTCTGCATACTGTTAGGCAATCTTTTGAACTAAAACATATTGAATTTGGACCATCTGACCTCAAAACTGATTTCCAAAATGTTATTTATTTTGTATAAAACTATTTTGCAAACTTTAGTCTTCACTGCTGGTTTTTTTCTGTTGATGAATGGTTTTTTTTCTTGGCCATAAAATCTTTATAGCTACTTGGTTGTAAATTTTTTCTCACAGTTTCTGCAGATATGTGTACTATACATTCTATAGAAGTCTCAACAGCAAGATTAGGAGCAATTATTTGTGGATTTTTCTTCACTTTCCTCACAATGACACGTTTCTGTCTTGAGATAAATATTTTAGGATTTTGTTAACTACACTATTTATCATGAGGAATTTCGTAATGGTATCTTGAATTGTGGATTTTGGAAGCAAAACTTTTCTGCAAGGTTTTGCACAGATTTCCCCTTTTGCTATTTTTCAATAATGAGTACTTTAATAACAATGGTTAACTTTCTTGTTTTCATTGTTCACAATGACAAAATAAAACAATTCAAGTATGAAACAAATATTTTAACTCACTGTCATGTAACAAACCTAATTCTCTTACAGATTTCTTTTTGAAATTCTTAATTTCAGATTACATTACAAATGGTTTATGGTGTACTGAATGTAATAACTCATGATCAACTCAAACAGCTCTTGAATATAGAAATTATCTTACATTTTACAAATTTTAATGATGATAAAGTTAGGAAATAGTGAATAATTAATATTAAATTTAAATAAAGTGGCAAAATAGAAATGTATTTTTAAGATTGTAAACTATTATATGAACTATTCGTAGACCAAGCAATACAGTAAAAATATATTTTAAAAATACAATCCAAAGTTATATGCATTTAGGTTATGAAATAAAAAATATAATTATTTCACTGTTATTACATTCCATAGTTTCAGGTATAATTACAATAACTAAAATCTATTTACTGTAACTTCATGCATGAAACAAAAAAGTAAAGCTGCTACTTCATCACTGTTCACTACAAAATACAGTATATCCCTGTGTGTTATCTATTTCGTTGTAGAAGAAACAACAATGTCCTAATAAAAATGTGAACATTCATTCATTAGTTATTATGAATTTAATTTGTAACTAGATTATTACAATTCTTCTAAACAAGTGTGTTGGTGCTTTGAATGCTACTGTCTGTCTGTAATGGAGAAATTTAAAACTTGTGGGTTTGAGAGTATCCCTGTAATGGCTTTCTTTTTGTTTTTTTGTGTAACAGTCTCAAGTGCAGCAGTGTATTTGATGTGTTCATAGTCCACATTAAACTTTCATTTGCAAATCACAATTGTGTATTCATGATATAGTTCACTAAAGATCAAAAAACAAAGTGTTTCAAAATACAAGGGCTGTTCAAAAAGTATCGGACCTTTGGTCGGCAAAAATGCATTTATTGATTTTGAGGTACAAAACCCTAACCCCTTCAAAGTAGTCTCCTTGGTAGTGTATACACTTCTCCCAGCATTCCTGCCATTGCTGGAAACACTGCTGGAATGCATTTTTTGGAATGGCCATCAGCCGGTTCGTCGCATTCCGCACGATGTCTTTTCTCAACTAAAATCGGGTTCCTTTTAGTGGCATTTTCAGCTTGGGATTTATTTATTTAGCGTATGGCTACACATCTAATTGTTAACACGAACAGAAAGCAGAAAAAGTAAGAACACAAATCATAAATGTAAATCTAAGTTAGAAATATGGTTTAAAGCACTTTCAGTCATAATCAGGAAGTCACTCAGTTGTCCCGGAAAAGATCTTACTGGACAATCTTCCAAGATATGATGTATAATCTGTCTTTCAGCACCACAGTCACACTGTGGGGATGCAACTTTCCCCACCTAAAAAGACTGTCCCTGCACAACCCATGTTTGGTCCGAATCCTATTTAACACACTCCAAAGATTTCTGGATAACTCAAATCCAGGTGGTCGCTTTGTGATACAAGGAAGTTGTCGACTGTCCACCGGAGAGACATCAGCCCAGAGCCTTTTCCAAGATTCAATGAGGTTGAAATTATTGGAATGCAGGGATTTAGCTCTTATAAGAGGAGGGTGTCTTGATTTAAGTCGATTTTATGTTGAGGTCATCAATATCCTGATGGATCAGAAGTTGTGGATTAGACAATATTTTCCTATATTCCCTGAGCAAAGTGCTGTCCCTTCGGAGTGCAGATGGAGGGATATGNAAGTAAATTCAACTTACGTTGTTTTTCGACTTAAGTCGTTCTCCTGGAATCAATTACCGATGTAAGGCGAGGTATACCTGTATTCTGTCTCTCAGAATATATCATTATGACATGGTGCTAGATCTGTAGTTATTGAGAATATGATCTTGTCAGCTTAGTAATGCTCATATGCAGTATATATATGCTTTTGTTTTCGTTGTGTAAACTTACGTTACTTTTCCTTATTTTTACACGTAAACTTAGCTAATGGGTCTTGTGCTGGAGTGAAAAAAGAAAAATACCAATTATGAATTTTTTTGTATGCCCCTCTATCCCTTTCCCAATTATTTATATCTGGTTATGGGAGTGCATAGTGCTTCAGAAATGGTTGTAGAACCTTTTCTATGTAATATTCAAAATTAATCTTAACATTGGACAGAACTTTTACTAATGGTTGTGTGCATTGGCCTGCTGATATGGTAATGAAAATGAAATTGTTACAGAAATGTTCACTTTTCTGGTAACAGAAATTTGGGGTTTCTTGTTTTACATAATAAATTTTCCATGTTTCATTACAATCCTGTAAATAAATTTTTTTCATCCAGGGTCACTGCAAATTCAGCCTTTTTTCCTGTTAGATGGCTTTTGTAAAGCTTGCAGCAATTCTTTGATTTTAAATTTGCAGCTCTCTGAGAATATGAAATTTTTTTTTCCTGCAATTGCTTTTCCAAATCTTTGTGAATTGCATTCCATACAGTGTACTATGACATGTTAAACTTGATTTTGGCCTGGAGATTCTTTTTTCTAATTAAACATTGATATTCTGAAACACTTCTTTGTTTCTTGCAGATCTTTTATTGGTTTTTTGGGCAATTTTTTGAGAGGAAAGGCCAACACATTTGTTTTTTTTTTCCATATTTCTAATTCTGTTCATAATATTTAGCTACAGTTCACTTAGATATGCTTATCCCTTTCTTCATAAGTTTGTTCACAATATCCTAATTTGAGAAGCCATCTTTAGATGAGCTTAAAACTATGAAGTTTTTATGCATGTTGTAGATTTATTTTAGCCAGCAAATGTTTTACAATATTAGCTGATACTGTAAATTACTTTGTTGATTTTTCTGTTTTAACACATGCACAAGTTTACTTACAACAAAAGAAAACAGGTTGTCCATACAAAACTAGAATAACTCGTAAACTACAAAAGTCTAATGTCAATTTGTGTTAAAGTGCAAGAAAATTATATTGAAGTACACATTTAAAAATCATCTAATATACTGCTTTATAAACAATAATATTTTTTGTGTAATAAATAATTTGTATTAATAATTGTTAAATAATTTTTATTTTACAGCTAGAATCAGTATTAGCAGTAACATTGATGTCAGGTCGTCTAGATCACATTATGGCAAGTCTTCAAACACTTTACTTAGCAAAACAAATGAATTGCCCTCCTGTTTATTTAATTTCTGATAAATGTGTGACTTGGTTATTATCAAAAGTAAGATTTTTTTAAAAATATGTTTTGTTATTAAATTTATTCATAATTTTTTAATTTGATTACATACAAAACCAAAACCAAATCATATTACTAATGAAATATCTGGATCAATAATAATAAATCTAGCTGGATTTATTATCAGGTTACATTTGGCTAATTAAATATACAAATGTTAAATAATTTGGACTAAAGATAGTCAATTAAGTCAACATGTTGTATTAAATTTAATAATTAGAATTAATACACATAATTGCTAGAACAGAATTAATTAAAAATATTCACAAAGTAGAAGAAACTATTAAATTGTCTTTATATCTTGTCCTTGTCAACATCTCAGGAATATAACAGTCTTTATGGGTGGATTTGGTGTTTAATTTGAGTCTATTCATCCACTTTGCTATGCAAAAATGCTAAAAACATGTAATTAGAATTAAATTAATTAATATAGAATAGCCTGGAAATATTCAGAGACTTGAACTTGCAATTCCTGAGGTTTGCATATCAGCTGACATAATGCAACTGAATAGCAAGCAGGAGTTGCAAGTCCTAGTCCTATTCTGGATTGATATTTTCTTCCAGAAATATTCTAAATTAATTAATTTAATTTCTAATTATTAAATTTAATACAAGATGTTGACTTAATTGTTTACCTTCAGTCTAAATTACATAGTTTCTGCATATTTAATTATCCAAACTGTAGCTAATAATAAAATCATTTTGATTATTTTAATTAATTTTCAGATTTGAATTTATTTTCAGGGAAAACATAAAATTAAAATAAATAGCACTTTTCATAATCTTTCTGTGGGGCTCATTCCATTAAATCCATGTATTGTTACAACTGATGGATTAAAATGGGATTTAGGTGAGAATATTAAATTTTCTTTTATTCAGAAACAGGGCCGGATCATTGCGAGACAAATGTCTAGGGCCCAGTTTTTAGAAAGGCCCGGTCAAACTGTCTAATTTGAAAAAATCTGTAAATAAGATAGTTTACTTTTCCGTTGGACAACTATATACAGTATAATAAACAAAAATATATTGCTTTTTATATGGTTATTGTGAATTCTAAAATCTAAAGAAAATGTGTTTTTATGTGTATTTATATTTGTATATTAAATACTTTTTATTAAAAAAATTTAATATTTGTTTTAGTTTTTCACATTATTTAGTTTTGTTTTATTTATTATCTTATATTTTTCGTGCGCTCTATTTCTTGCGGGAGAGGGAGGGGGCTCTGTAAGAAGAAAATATCTAGGGTCCCAAAATGGGTTAATCCGGCCCTGTTCATAAAATATATTTATTTATTTAAAATTTATAATCAGTTTTTTTACCATTTAATATATTTTTGAATGTCATGATTTTTGTATTATTTTCTCTTTAATTTATGAATTTCTTGTTTGTTAATATAATCATTTTTTTCTTTCCTTTCTAATTTTTTGACTGTTTTTGCCCTGTGGATACTGAAAAGGCTTTTTTTAATCATACCTATCATGGGTTTAACCAAGCCCACAATTGGGATGGCTGGGTGAAGAGGGACAAAGCTTGACATATCCAGGAAAGACAGCACCCTGAAAAATTCCTAGGGGTTTTTGACCACCCATAGTCAATCCTGTGACCATCAGAGTGGTGCCTTATTCACCTCAGTCATCTAATCATTCACATAATCATATTGTTTATTACAGCTTTCTATCATTATCTANATAGATTTCTTCAGTATCAAAAGGTAGAGAGTACGCTGTATCATTTAAACATTTAGCTTTAATGGACGTAAGTTCTTTTTTAATCTTAATTGTGAATTCACGATCTCTAGGAGCTCTAGATATGTTTAGTATATGTTCTGCAATACTATTTGGAGTAATCAAGATTTCTCTACCTGATTTGACAGTTGCTCCTCCCAATCTTCTAAGCAAGGACCAAGCCTTCCTACTTGACTTTGTAAAATCCAAATTTTGTACAGTGTTTATCCATCTAAGGCGCCTGGCATCATCTAAGCTATGAAGTAGTTCATCCCCTAATTCAAGATCACCAGATTCCAGGAACTTCCTATATAGTGATTCACTTTTTTCACTCCATCCTGGGATATAAATCTTGCGATATCCTCTAGGTATACATTTCTTGGCTACGCTAAACAGTGCTCCAACAAACCTTTTATAATTGTTGGATGTAGGTGGGATCCATCCCAAACATTTGTCAAGATCTTCTGAGAACAAAGTCCAGTTAGCCTTGTTAAAATTCCATCTTGGGCGTGGTATACTATTTACTATAGGAATACTAAGTCCAATTCCAATAATTATTGGGCAGTGCTGGCTATGCGGGAACTGATTTAAAACTGTTCGTGTAGCTGATAACGGTTGTCTATTGTTATCTGAAGACACAAAGCACAAGTCAGGATTATATTCACAACCCCAAGCGCTGGACCTAAAGGTGCATCGATCTTTAGCATCAAACAGAAGATAAAGATTATTTTCCTCTGCCCATTTAAATACCATGTCACCATTTTTATCAGTGTCACGGTATTTCCAGCATTCATGGTGGCTGTTGAAGTCTCCCAAGTAGACAGCAGGATGGGGTAAATGTGGTAAGACGTGTTGTGGCCAAGTTATAGCTGGGGGTTTATAGATATTGCTGATTGTAATTTGTCCAACCTGTATAGTAACCACATGAATGTTATCGTCAGTGGCTGCCTTACAAAACAGAACATCCTCAATGTCACTACGGGCATATGTTGCAGTGCCGTATGTTTTGTGGTAGGTTGAACCAATTAGTTCAAAACCAGGAATCACACCTCTTTTCTGAAGTTGGTATTCATTCTCAGTATGAGTCTCTTGAATTACAACTATGTCAATTTCGTTATCCTTTAGGATTCTATGTAAGTATTGGCATTTTGCTCGACTAATGCCTTCAATATTAATTTGACATATCTTAAGTTGAGGACCAAGATCTTTGGTACTATGACCCTTAGAAGGGTCTTTGTAATGAGAAGACATAAGTAGTCTAAATAGGTAAAGAAAAAAGATGTGTATTGTCCAGGAGATCCAATGGATTATTTGGATGCCAAAAGTTGCTAGCTCATTTAGTTCACGAATAGACGTTATCCAGGGTGCACTACGAGGAGGCGAACTAGCATTACACCCCTTCAGCTTGGGAAATAGCCAAAAGTCCACATGGGGAGCCATGTGGGGAGAGTACGGAGCGTGACGAACCACAGGAGTTTTGTGTTTGGCGACGAAAGCCCGAATCAGATGTGCAGAATGGGCGGATGCGTTATCATGATGGAGCTGCCAAGTTTTGATCGACCACAGATCTGGTCATTTGCATCGCACAGCATCGGAAAGACGACGAAGGACCTCCTGGTAGTACTCCTTTGCGATGGTTTGGCCTTGTGGTGCATACTCACGATACACCACCCCACAAGAGTCGAAAAAACTGTCAACACAACCTTGATATTGCTGCGGACCTGCCGTGCTTTTTTTGGCCTCAAGGATCGTCCCCGAAATCCTGCTGAATTTTGAGAATGGTTTTACGCTTGGGTATCACCAAGGTTTTTGGCAAAATTTGATGTAATATCGCTGCTCACATTGTTCAGTCATTTTCCAACTTACTTGTTAGTGGAATCCGACGAGAGCTTATTACACGTTCTCACTCATAGGCCTACTGCTAGCGACTGACGCTTCCTGCAGGCGGGAAAAAATTTAGGGCTGTGCATGACTGTCCCCTCCACAACTCCACTGAAAGAGGCCTCCCTTGCATCATTGGTTTATGTAGAAAAAATAAAAGTCCGATACTTTTTGAACAGATCTCGTATATAGGCATATTACAAGAATTTTTCTAATTTTCTAATCTATAATATAATCGAGACGGGTTGATGATAATAATAATAAGTGCAGAGCCCAAACGGTTAGGAGTTGGAAGATGAAATTTGGTACACAGTTAGGGTATGTCATGAAAACGCACACTAAGAAGGGATTTTTCGAAATGCCCCCCTGGGGGGAGAGGGACAGGATTAAGCTTAACACTTCCATCAACAATAGAAGTGTTAAGTAACAATGAAAGTGTCAACAATGGAAGTATCAACAATGGAAGTGTTACGTAACAATGGAAGTGTTACGTAACAATGGAATTGTTAAGAGAAAGCGACGTTTTAAGAGAGAGTGCAGTTTTTTTTGTTTTTGCGGGAAATCGAACATATTTTTAGACCCATATAAAAATTCTCTAATTAGTCTGGAAACAAGGGGACCCAATTCTTGCATTCTGTGAAAACGGATAAGGTTGACTGTAACATAATAATCTTTATCTTAGTTATCGTTACTTTTGCCCGAGCAACGCCGGGCTTATCTGCTAGTATTCTAATATTCAAGAATGGAAGGTAGTGATAAAAAATTTTATTTTGTAAATTCTTTAATTAATTTTGATTACATTTCAGTATGAATCAATTAGAATTTATGATTAGTTTTAAGTTATATTCATCAATTATAGTTTATACAAATTTTTATAATTAAATATGATCAGAAATGAAATGTGATTTTGTATTTATGTATTATCAATACTATGATTTATGATTTATTATTTTTTAAAGCTTTCAGTTAATATAATATAATGAAAACTTTTTAATTATGTTGTATTTTGTGATTCTTTTTGTGATCATTTTTAGAATACGCCCATATTACCTGAAAATTTAACTGAACCAGAAGACAAACTGAAAATATATAACTTTCAGATCTTATGCTTTCAGTTGAACTAACTCTTTAACCTGAAATAAACCTAAAAATATTTTAACTTTTTGTTTGTGCTCATGACAAAGCATTTACTAAGCAATATTATATTGTTATAAATACATATAAACAATGAAGCCTGAATTTATTAGAGAGGTTGAGGCGCACGTTTTAAACGTGTAAACGTGTACGTGTGACGTTCGGCGCCGCTTTCCCGTAAGCCTAAAAGTTTGACAATGGTGTTTGGATAGTCGGTGGAATCACGCTCGACATTCCAAACACCATCGTCAAACTTTTAGGCTTACGGGAAAGCGGCGCCGAACGTCACACGTACACGTTTACAC